ATAAAAATTGAAAATTATAATTATAAATTGTATAATGTTTGAATGTTCTAGAGTCCCGGTATTGTTTATTGTAATATTTCTCTTCATATAGCCTATTGAATTATGCATTTCTCATGTGTTTATATCTTATTCATAGATAATTCAGCTTTTGGTTTAGTATGATTAATGTATTTATGTGGTTTGTACGCATTTCACTAGTGTATCCAAGCGTTTCTATATCTTTCATTCGTATCCATGCGTTTCCAAAGCATATCTGTATCTGTATCCGAGTTATCTGATATGATACCCGATACTGATACTTTGATAATTGGTTTTGTCATACATGTTAATCACCCAAGCGGCCCAGATGTGAATCCAACAGTAGTATCTTGATGACATCCATCATCTTCCATCCAAAAGAGATGACGCACAAATATAATTTTCGAATGAAAGTTGAGTATTAAGATTTGAACAGTGACAAAATTTCATTTAATGTAGCTATATGAATTAACTAGCAAGGTGTCCTTGAAAAAAAGAACTAGCAAGGTGTCTATAGTCACAAACAACAGTAGGTAAACAAAATGAACACAAAGGCAGTAATCCTAGCCTCCTAGAATTGTTTTACATATGGTTATTGGTAACAAGTTCACAATAAAGATGACTGTTGGTGAAAAGAGCAAGCCAGCAACCAAAACAAGTCATCTTGTCACCAGAAAATTTGCTACTCAATGAAGGAATGGCATACGTGATGTTTATAAGCCAAGGTATGAGTTTGGACTAAAAGGTTAGCAGCAAGATGTATGTGGAATAAAAAATGGACTAAAAGAAAACCAGTACGCATTTCAGAATGCAATCAAATCACTTCAGAAGAATAAAAAACGGAAACTTAGCTGCATAAAAGGGGCCAAAACACATCCACAATGTGCTCAATCCTAAACCCCCTTTGTCATGATCCATTAAAAAGTATCATTATTGAAAGAAAGATTGAATACCCATTCTAGAAATCTGATGCTAGACAAAATGGAAATAAGGAAATTACTGAGAAACCCCCACCCACAGAATACCCATCAATTGAACTCAGGAGCCTACCATCAAACTCAAACACTCTTCACTCTGCAATGGGAACACAGTCAAAAACTCCAAGCCACTAAAAAGCTCTGGTTTTGGTGATCGGTGACAAAAAGACTGTTTTACCCTTTGGAGGCAAACATAAGAAAATGTTTTTATTTTCAAAATTATAATTTTACCCGTCCACCATTCATCTTCACCACCACTACTTGAGCAACCACCGCAACCAACAGTATCAGAGATCTACTACCAGCGATGGACAGGAAACACACCAGAAAACTCTCTCTCTAAAACAGATTTTTCACACACTCATCAAAGAAATTGGAGTGTCATTTAAAAGCAGAGTTGCAGCAGTTATCTCCTCTCTCAAAAATTAGGTACCAGCAGAAATACATAAGGTATTTCTATCACAGAATTACACCGCATCAAGAACCCCACTGTTTTCTCTCCTTTGGTATTATTTGGAACAAGAAAAAAAGCCAGAGGATGCCTACACCTAAGTAGAGAGGCAAGAAGACAACTGCTTGCATAAAACTAGGGTGGAATTTCAAAAAAAAAAATCATGAAGTTTCCCAAAGATAATTTCAGAATGTGGACTATGGCTCCCCCATCATTCTTTGGAATATCAATTTCTTCAATAGAAGCACTTATACAACAGCCATACCTTCTTTTCTTTGTAGTGTGATTTGGATTGGGTGGAGAGGAAGGGTCTGATAACCCAACAAGCAAGGCTGCCAGTTGTTCTCTGCTATTTTGCACCATCAACAGAGCCAGATTTAATAGAGGATTCATTTAAATAATTAGTTCAATATTTAGAGAAACTAGTTGAGTAACAGTCGGTAGCTTGTTTTTTTGAATTAACATTGGAGCATGCTTTGTCAAAGCAAAGGGGTGAAATTTTTGTTGGTATAAACATAATATTTTTATGCTAGAGCCATTACCAATTTGTAGAAAATTATCAAAACCAGCTCTATTCCTTATTAGCTTCTTCGTATATCAAAAACAACCAGTAAATAAAAATCCATAACTGAAATCACTGCTTCTCCTCCTTTTCCCTGTTCCACTGCTTAATCCATGCCCTCTGCTCATCACATTCTTCTCTTACTGGACTCTTGTTCTGCCTCAGGTTTCCATATCACCTACTTCCCCCATCACTATCATACCCCCTTAATTCTAGCAACTAGATCTTCAATTTTCGTTTTGAAAAACAAAGGGGCCATTTGGCAAGTCTTTTTAGAAAGATCTTCCAGCAGCCCAAGTGGCCAAAAGACATACTGAGCTTTTGGGCTCTTGTCTTTAAAGATAAAGACCGTTTGGCAAGCGTCTCAGTCTATCAGGCTTTTAAATATGTGTTTACCATCAGACCATCACGCAAAAGACCAGAAAGCATCATTTGAAGCTTCCTGAAATTTGGAGTGTTTGGTCTTTTTGGGTCTTTCCACACATGCGTTTTCTCATCTTTCCAGCTTTTGATTACCAAATGGAAAAAGACTGATTTTTGGTCTTTTGAGCTTGCTGAAGCCCAGAAGACACACGGAAAGACTTGCCAAACATCGCCTTTAAACCAGCCCTTCAATTTGGAATTCTATACACTAGAACATTATTCCACCATGGAAACAGAAGAATCAGCATCGTATCTGTACAAGAAAGTCTTTGCTGTGACATTGCAGGCATTACAGGCGAGATTCTAATGGGGGAGGCACTAGGGTTTGATTTACAGAGAACTAAACAACCCCAAACAAAGACCTGAGAGCACTTAATGAGATGAGAAAGTGACAAAACCTTAGTGCAAGTGAAGACGAAGGCCACCGGGATGTCACAGGTGAATGGAAGCATGGGTGATGTTTCATTGATAATTAGGATTTCTTGCTCTAGTTGCTGCCTGTGGTTTGGGTTGAAAATGGCACTAGTAATTCAAGCTGAGAGCATCTTATTCCTTGGGAACAGTTACAGACCTGTAGGTCTTACCAGGAAAGTGATTATAGATTCAGTGCTTGTGTTGACCACACTTGCGACCGTAGAAGGGTCTGTTTGATCTCAAAGGGGTTGGATTGGATTTGACCAATAAAGGGTAAAATCGAAATTATGAAATAAATTAACCATCATGTGACATCACATGTAAATGGCATATGATGGATAGTTATCAGAAGGGTACCCCGTGTCCAGTGACTTTGTCAAGCAGGGGATTTCAGAGTCTTTTCAGAAACCAGAAGGTATGTTCTAGTATTTAATTTAGATATTTTGTGGGGGGTATATTGTCTTTTTACTTATTTTATATGTTTTCCCTATATATAATGATGAAATGAGGCTGCTACCCTAACTATTCTATTGGTTCCAGCTCCTTTTTCTCTTGTCTCTTCTTTTCTTTTCTCCCAAGATTCTTACACAGAAAACATGGTATCGGAGCCCAAGATCTGATCATATGAATAGGCTCTTTCATTCCTTTTCAGTTTTATCTTCTTCCAGACTGATAACAGATAGAGGAAGGTTAAGAAAGGAGGTTGAGTAAGATACAGAAGATACACCACCTTTACTGGCTAGTGGAGAAGAGATGGAGGAAGGAGGCTCTGTGGAGACAACAAGTTGGAGGCCAAAGATTTCTTGTTTGAGGAAATGAGGATTAAGGGATGACCAAGTCTGAAAGCAATGTTTTAAAATGCAGCGGTGTGATGTTAGGCATTCCACTACCTAGAGGTGTGAAGCATAGTTCAGAACATGAGAGGCGTAATCCTCCTTAAGAGGAGGGGAAGAGGAGGAAGAAGGAGGGGGAGGAGGAAGAAGAGAAAGGAGGGTCTCATTCTTTTCTTTCTTTTCTTCTCTTTCTTTTTCTTTCCATTCCCTTTCTTTTCATTTCCATTACTTTCTTTTTTCTTTCATTTTCTGTCTTTTTATATGAGGTGTGAGGTGCATGAGGTGTACGCCTCTAGCACGCCTCATGAAAAAGATGTATAAGGTGTATGTGGCGCAGTACGGAAACAAATCATGTTCAGAGAAGCTTCAAAGAAAAGAACTAAATCCAAAATAAATAGGAAGAATAACTCTTCACCGAATACTTAAGAGAAAATCAACATAAACTACCCTAGCTTTTCCCTAACTACTCTTTATATAGATTTTTTTACACCCTTATGCCTCCTACAAAGAAAGTTTCCTAATCTAATAAAACACTTCTTATTATAATCCTACTAAATATCTTCAAAAAAGAAAGTCTTGATTGAATATAAATTCGGAAATCTCGCTATAACGCTAACTTGGTAAATATGAACTAAGATAGAAATCCTGCGGTGGCACTAACTTGGTAAAAACGAACTAAGATAGAAATTCCGCGATGATGCTATCTTGGTAAATATTTACTAAGTGGGTCGGTGTCGTCACCTCTGCTTCTTGCATGTCTTGCAGTGGTCCCCACTTGCATAGAACTTATTAGCTTCTTTCTGTACTGTATCATCCTCTCCCTATACGTACTAAGATGGGTTTTCGAAAACCAACTTTGTAAATGTTTACTCAGTTGGTGCAAATCCCGTACTGTATTAGTATTGCCTCTTGCGCTTGAGGCATATGCCTCATAGGTGTCAATGCCTTTGGCATATGCTTCAGGGCGTTTTGATGGTCAAATTTATTAATCCAAATGTATGATAAATTAGATTACATAATATTTTCATAATTCATAAGCATTTTTGTATATAATGAGGAGTCTATTTATATGTAGAAAATCCATCTTATTGTAATGTGCCTATTCTCTACTTGTGCTTTTGAATTTTTTTCTTTTTCTTATATATTTCTAGATATTTATTTTCTTTCAAATTGAATTTTACAATTCATGCTAGTTGAATCCCAATTCAATTTGTTCAGACCCCAAAGCATTGGTTACGGTTCTGTCAATATACTGTTTCTCTGTGTTTCATTTCTCTAGTGCACAATCCTTCATAAAAGTAATATTGATTGAGGTCTTGCAGGTACGAGTTGCTCTTTTATCCAAGATATCATCTTGATCAGAGTTCTTTGCTTTGCCGGAAACCATTGCTTGGGAAGCCAATTGTCATGGACGTATTTCAAGATTATATACTTGTCACATATCGTCCATTTGATGTTCATATTTTCCATGTGAATATCATTGGTGAATTGTCTCCTTCTAACACTCCAACTTTGCAGGTAGGGGACTTACTCCTAGTTAACTTTCTTTATGTTCTTATTTCTCTGGGAGTTGCAGTACTCTAGCTTGAACATCAGCCATGCATACATTCGTAAGTAATAAAATGACGAACAGCTTTCTACAGTACGAGAACTTTCGATAATGACTGCAAAGAGCCATCCTGCAGCAATGCGTTTCATTCCAGAACAGCCTTCAAGTGAGTTTGTCTCAAGAAACCATCTTTCATCTTCATCAGATCCCTTTGTCAGACAGCCTGCTAGGTGCGCTTAGCTGTGTTTATATATCCAAATGGTAAGTTACTCAAATAGCATTATCAGAAGCTAAATTGTATCATATTTGTCAGATGCTTAATACTGAGAACAAATGGGGAACTTTCACTACTTGATTTGGATGATGGGCGTGAACGAGGGCTCACGGATTCAGTTGAATTGTTTTGGGTTACTTGTGGTCAGACTGAGGAGAAAGCGAATCTTATTGAGGATGTTTCTTGGTTAGATTATGGCCACCGAGGAATGCAGGTAATGGAATGTATGAATCTATAGCATTTATAGTCTATTAACATTTTTCTATAATCTGTGCATTCTTCACCTCTACTATTATATCTCCTTTACTTGTCTGATACAGATTATGCTTGGAAGCTAATCATTGCAGGTTTGGTATCCATCTCCTGGTGTTGACTCCTTTAAGCAGGAGGATTTTTTGCAGGTATGAGTGTTTTCATGCTTATATCACTTTATAGTTTAGATATTGTCTTGATCTTAGTTGTACTATATTATCTGAGAGTGTTAGTCTTTTATCTTTAGCATAGAACCTCTTTAGAATATTTTCTCTATATGAATTGATAAATTATTAAAGATGTTTGTTGTCTTAAAGAACCATTCAACCTAAAAGCTTAAGCTGTTAAGTGAGGTCCTTGAATAGGTTTTATTCTCTAACATGCCCACAAAATCCCATTGGGCTTGAAGCATGGGCAGCACAGGCCCACCCAAACCTTGTACTGAAACTTAATTAATTGTAATGGGGGCGACAGGAATCGAACACTAGACCACTTGATCAAACTGGCTCTGATACCATCTTAAAGAACTATTCAACCTAAAAGCTTAAGCTGTCAAGTGAGGTCCTTGAATAGGTTTTATTCTCTAACATGTTGAACATAAAATTGGGCAGAGAAGATAATTGCTGTTTGGGTTAAGTTGAGTAGCTATTCAATCCCATTTTCATGTTTTAGTGCAGCATGGATTGATGCCTATTTATTCATAATATTTTTAACTGCTACGTGTGTGTGATCTCATTTTCTCAAAAAAAAAAAAACATTAATTTTTGCATTGAGTTGATGAAGATGTGGATAAATGCATCATCCCCTACCCTGTCACATGTGCTTTCTCAACTGATGTGGACAAGTGAAACTGTCCCAAACTGCTTTTGAAAATTAATCCCTACATTTTGTTTTTTTTTTTGTTTTTTCTGTTTTTCTCTTCCACTTTTTTAATCTAAAGCTGATATTTTGAAGTGTGGTTATTTCAGTCGTGTTATTCATTAAGGTGGCTGAATGATTTTGACTCCTTGTTATTGCCATAGTTGGATCCTGAGCTGGAATTTGATCGTGAGGTTTACCCTCTGGGGCTTCTTCCATATGCTGGTGTTGTAGTTGGTGTTTCCCAGAGAATGTCATTTTCATCATGCACAGAGTTTCCTTGTTTTGAGCCTACTCCTCAAGCACAAACAATATTACACTGTTTATTGCGTCACCTTCTTCAGGTAATTGATGCGCAGTTTCCTATCAGCCATCAGCAACTTTTGAGTTTTGAGCTTCAATTTTGTGTAAACTATGCTCTGTTCAACTACTGCAACGTTTGGAGGCTTTTATTAGTAGTTTTTTTGGGTAAATTATTGGTAGATTTGGTAACCATGAATTGCAAAGATCTTTCTTTTATCAAGTCAATGCTTTAGAAAAACATTGTTCTTGATAGGGTGAAATAAGAGAACAAGATTGATAGTTGGATTCATCTCTTGTTGGTCCAGCAAAGGGCCATTTGTTAATGAAATTGTAAAACCTTATGTTGACAAGCATGAGAACATGGGTTTGAGTCAGAGAGCAGCCAACTTGTACAAAGAAAATGCGAAAGTGTATGTCCATATCCAGTCGACCCTGCTGGGACCAACATTTGGGTAATGGCCTTTATCCTTTGTTGGGTTAACAAGGATCTCTTGGTCTCTAGTTAGTAAATGTCATCCAAGATTGGTGACACTGTTACTGGTGAAATGTTTTTTGTATTAAAAAATTCTGTAATGAAGTTTGTCTGATGAGATCACATTTCACAACTAGCTCCTTCTAGCAAAGTTTCTCAGGAGCTGGATGTATGAGTGCCTGAAATATTTGTTAAGAAAACTATTAAAAATATGTCCCCCTTACCAGATTTCCTTGCACCCCAATGCTTTGGAAAGTTTTCTTCTTTTGTGATTTACATGGTAAAGTGTATGAAAATATCTATTTCTATTTTAGGATCCTGTATTCTGTCTATTTGTGGCATTGTAATTCTGCTTCTGTTTTATTGTTCACTAGAGGGATAAAATTGAGGAAGCTCTGAGATTGGCACGCTTATCTGCAGAAAAGCCTCATTTTTCACATTGTCTGGAGTGGCTCCTTTTTACTGTATTTGATGCTGAAATATCCAGGTACTACACGTTCAAAAACTTTGAATGCTGAAAACCCCTTACCGACAAAAAGAAAAGGAAAATAGAAAAGAAAAGCATAAATAGAATTCTGATAAAGTTATTAGGATTACGATGTAAGAAAGCTGTTATTACTAGTTACCTGATATAGTTTTTTTTTGATAATTGTTACTAGTTACCTGATATTCATATCAACTAAAAGAAAAACTCATGCTCTTACATAACTTCTGTCTGTAAGTGGTATTATTGCAATTACTTGGGACTTATTGAAGAACTAAAAGAAAATAACAGTAATATTTGTCCTTTTATCAAAATCTCAAGTAATATTAGTCCTTTTGTCAAAATCAACAAGAGGAAGGTCATCAAGGTTTGGGACAAAGTTGAGGATTGGAAAGAAATCCTGGAAGTAGTTATTGGGGAGGATTCAAACAAAGGAAAAGGCCTGTCTTTTGCCATTTGCTGAAATGAAAGTCTTACTAGAATTCATAGTTTTCGACGTGCCAAGGCAAAGCTAGGCGACCATGGGGCGCCCAGGTTCCTAGGTGCCTAGGCCTCGCCTAGGTGATGGAATCAAAAAATAGGAAGCCTACATGTTTGTACCTCTTGTGAGCTTGTTACTTGGTTTTATACATTAACCTACAATCCTCTAAACTAAATTTTGTGCGTATGATTCTTGCAGTTGTGCATAAAGTATGCAACACAGAATATTAAAAAGAGAAATTTGGACTTCAAAGAAGAACTGAAGAGGGCGTAGCCCTGTGTTTGAATAAGAAAAGAAAAAGAACTTGAGGAGAAAACAGGGAGGTGGAGCCCCTGTTTTAGACCAAAAAAAGAAAAAGAACAAGGGGCTCCACTACTGTTTTAGACCAAGGAAAACCGTAGAAACACTAAAACAAAAGACGGAAATGAAAAGAAGGGGGCAGAGCTCCTGTTGCAGATCACCAATGAAGAGGAAAAAAATTATGAAAAAACTCAGAGAATTGAAGAAGAAAAGGGGTGAACCCCTGTTCCAGATTTTCGAGGAGGAAAAAAAGGTGCAGGTTAATGAATAAGACCAAAAGGGTGAAAAGATTGAAGGAAATTGAAGAAGAAAAGAAGGGGGCAGAGCCCCTGTTTTATTCCAAAAAAATCATGCAAAAAAAATGTAGGGAAAAGACAGAAAAAAAGGAAGAGGAAAAAACCAACAAAAAAGAAGAAAAAACAGGCTGAAAACAAAGAAGGTAAGAAGAAGAATAAGTGATCCAAAGCAGACTGAAAATTGAGAAGTTGTTTAGATTTGCTGGCATATTCATTTGGCATACCTGGCATATTTGAAGTTGTTTAGATTTCCTTTCTGGTTATGCAGCATTGCAGCAACAGGACTGTGTGTGAAACAAACCTGACTGGACAGCTCTCCCTCTTCTATTCAGTTCTGCCATGAAAATAAAACCCTAAGAAGACAAAAGGTTTGCTAATATTCTTCTAATAGAAAGATTGATAATGTGTAATAGGTTCTATTTGCCGCAAAAAAAAAGTAAAAAACAATATAAAAAATATTAAATGATCAATGTATTAATGTGTCTTGCACCTAGGCGCCCACCTAGTCACCTAGGCACCCGCCTAGTCTCCTAGGCGTGCGCTTAATACAAAATCTACATGGCGCTTGGGTGAGGCAGAGTTTGAAAACTGCCTAGTGGCCTAGGCGTCGCCTTGACAACTATGCTAGAATTGGGAGAGGTTTATACTGAATTACTTACTATTGTAACAGAGCAGGGCAGGATAACAGTAGAAAACTGGTCACCTTGTAATGAATAAGAATGCTCAGAAGTAAACTAGATCATTGAAGTCCTTGGACTGCCATTTTTTTTTTTGAAACAAAGGTAACTTTTATTGAAGACAGAATAAGAAGAAGTACATGAGAGGATGTACTGAAGCCTAGAGTGGCTTGGCAGAATTACAAAGGCAAACAGTTCTCTTTAAACAAGAAATCTCTAAAAACCCTTGGTTTTGTTAGTCAGTTCTTCTTTTCTAATAGAATGTCTCATAGTCCATCAAATATTCCCCCTTTCCCCGTGGATTGCACCTCCAATTCTTGCTTGACCTGTGGAGCCTTGGGCACTACCATCAAAGTTTAGAGTCAGTTCTTCTTTTCTAATAGAATGTCTCATAGTCATAGTTCACTCAGATTTTTTTTTTTTTTTTTTTTGATAAGAAATGGTAACTTTCATTAAAGATAAAAAGGAGAATACAGATATCACCACCCAAAGGGTGGGTGGAGAATCAGAATAAAAGTCTTACAAACAAGCCCAAAACAGTCTTCTTAAAGAAAAAATGTACACAGAAATACAACTCAGAAATAAGACATCCCTGTGAACACCAGCTTTTTCTAGGCCATCCGCTTCTGTATTTAGCTCCCTGGGGATCCACCCCAGCTATGCATTTAGGTTGAGAAGGATATCCCTTGCTTCAGTCAAAAAATGTGCTAACACCCATGGCCCACTGCCATGATCAGCTAGCCACCTAATAGTATTTGCTGAATCTCCTTTTATGGTGATGTTCTGAAAACCCAGATCTCTTGCTATCCTGATTCCAGTTAGAGCTGCCATAATTTCAGCCTTTGTTGAAGAGGCTATCCCTATCGGTCCACTGAAAGCCCAAATAACTGCATTCATTCTTCTAAAAATTCCACCCATTCCTGCTGCACCTGGGTTTCCAAATGCGCTTCCATCAAAGTACAAGGTTATCTCCCCTTCCGTCACAGAAGAGTGTGGGGTAGGGAGGATTAAGGATTGATGTTTGGAGAACAGAAATTCTGCAGCATTTCTTTGAAGGTCAGAAAAAGGAACCCCTTTAAAGTACTCTGAGCTGGCGGTCCAAACGGAGATTCTATGGGAGATGATAGACAAAAGCTCCTCGAAGTTCCTTTCTCTATTGTTGAAGATTCGGTTGTCTCTTTCTTCCCAAATGCTCCATAGGATGGCATGTACTACGGAAATCCAAAGGATCCTTCCTCTTTTGCTTAAACTTCTTGCTGCCCATTGTCTGAAACAGTCTATCACATTTTCAGGGAAAGCCCAACTAAAATTAAAAAGGTTGAGGAAGAAACTCCAGAATTTTCTGGTTTCCTCACAGTAGATCAGAATGTGATTGGTTGATTCCCCAGCTTTTAAACACAAACAGCAAGCATGAGGGGAAGTTCAGGACCTTCCTTTAAAATCCCAGTGAAGATTGCTAACAGATTAGAGAAGATAATGAGAGATTTCCTGTGGGAGYCAGRAGAAGAGAAGAGGGATCATAGAGTTAGCTGGGAAATAGTGTGTAGGAGTAAGTCATGTGGTGGCTTGGGGCTTGGGAGTATTAGGAGAAGGAATATGACTC